TTGCTATGTATCTAGACATAAATATGTCTAGATACATAGCAAAATGGATGAATCAAAAAAGTCAAAACGACATTTATTTTGAATAGGAGGTAGTATTACAAGACTCAATGTTTTTTTATTTGTATCAATTTAAGGTATGATATTTATTCTTTTTCAATAGAAAACTTATATTTTAGATTATTCTCAATTTAAGGCATGCATTTTAGTTAACTTTTTATTAGAAGGTCCAACTAACTTTACGTTTTGACATAAATATGTGAATCAACTATTAGTAATTTATATTTTACATACTTATAATAATAAAAAATAGTAAATATCTTTAGTAAAATTACATTAATAAGAAAATAAAACTATATATATTACAATTATTCAAAGTTTAATAATGATTATTTATAAAATTGATAATCTAAAAAATATGCAATTAAAATATTATTTTTATTAATAATATAAATATGTAATAAAAATAAAAAAAATACTATTTGAATAATGTGGCAAATTTTTTTTATGAAAACAATTTCAAGAAGTGGCATGAATGTGACAAATATCTTTTTTTCCTTGAATATCAATAATTTCTTCAAGTTAAATTTATTTAATTTCAAAATTTTATGAAATAAAAAATATAATATTTTGTAGTCACAATCAATTATGTGTTATTTCTATAGTCACATATTCATGTTGTTTGACAATTATTATGCATGATTTCTTAGAATGATAATATGATAATAGTGATAATAAACACAATTCATCAACTAATATTATATTTAAAAAAATATTTTAAAATATAATAAATAAAATTTTAATCAACATAATTTTAACAGAATCCACCGAAGAGAATGATAATAGCATAGTTCTAAAAACCGGACCGACCGGCCGGTCCGACCGGTTGAACCAGGAACCGGCAAGTTCACCGGTCCGGTCCCTAAAAATAACCGGCTGTCAACAAAACCGGTAAAAAACCGGTCAATGACCGGTTCAACCGGTCAAAACCGGACAAAATCGGATATAAACCGGCTGGTTCAAACAGGCAAGTTTTTCTTTTAATCTAACATACAAATACTAACAGAATTTATAAAGCAATTAAGAGGTATAACCTCTTACGTTAACCGATGTGGGACATTGGTAGTAAAAATTTCAATTAATGCGCATGAGACTAGGGGATTGGGTGGTTCAAATTGACAGTAAGAATTTCAATTAATTGCTATGGGGGTGGCAGGAAACTTCTTTTTCCATATTTGTTATATTAATTAATCATCAATTATAGAACAAGTGGTTGATTAATATCAAATTATCAATAGTCTTTCTTTCGTATCCAAGTTACAGATAAATTATATTGAATCATGTAAAATATCAATAAGCACAAAACAAACTGCAAAAAGCTTGAATTAATTTAAAAAATAAATGAACCAGAACAATCACCAGAAGAATAAGATAGATTTCAATCACTGTTATTTTATTACTTAATCTATATATTGTTGGATCAATCTTTTAAAAAATAAGTTAACTATATTTAATATTTATAAAATATTATATATATTAAAATATCAATAAATTAAATAACTTAATAATTTTAACTAAATTTATGAAATATTATATATATTTAAAAATATCAATAAATTAAATAACGGTCCAACCGGTTCAACCGCTGGTCGGACCAGTGAACCATTGAACCAGTAGCTTGACCGGTTCGATGACCGGTCCGGTTTTCATAACATTGGATAATAGTGATAATAAACACAATTCATCGACTAATATTATATTTGAAAAATATTTTAAAATATAATAAATAAAATTTTCATCAACATAATTTTAACAGAAGCCGCGGAACAGTGGCGTACTAGTCAGAAATGAAGCTGCCAGTGCCACTCACCCCTCTAATTTATGCTGGCCACATTCAGTCATCATCACTTCAACTCAGTTTTCCAGACAAAACAACAATGAGGCCTACGTAGCCTTGAATGATATCTAGTTGATGAGGTCAGAATCTCTAGTCCGAAGGACAGCACACTGAAGAAAAGTCTGAAAATCGACGTGCTCGAGGCACACCTGACATTGTATTTTCCCTTTCGCCCAATGAGCTATGCAGGAATAATGATAGGCATGAGAGCATGGCAAGAAAAATATGTAGTTGTGATAACGAAGCTTGCCGGAACAAGTACCGCAATTCATTTGGTGAGTGTCGTTTTTTAATTCTATCGGGAATTCGTAAGGCGGGGGAGTCGAGAGAAGCTTAATGAGCTTATCCCCAAGCTCCACATGCTTGGAGTTGGGCATTGTGGCCCGCCATCTGGCATCACCAATGGTCTCGTTTTCCGCTTGCTTTGTGTAGAGTTTGATATGCATAGTGATGGGGTAAACTCTAAGGTCTGATCGAGTCGACATAAATGCCTCGTGTCTAAGCTTGTTGACAATATCTTTGGTGTCTTCCACCCATTTTTTAATAACATCTTCATCATTGACTCCGTGACAGCTGAGGAATTTGAAAAGAAAGGTTTCCGGGTGGTGGATGTCGTACTCCAGGCCTCGCCTCACCTGGATGTAGTGACCGGGAAAACTGAACATGTCCATGTAGAATTTGTGATGCGTAATCAGAAACACGCGTATGTAGAAGCATCTATGTGTCGAACAAAGCGTCTCCTCAACAATGCTGCGGCCGGCAACTCTCTTTTGGAGAACGTAATCTGCTCGGAAGTTGATTCGGACATGGGGCACGAGATTGAACAACAACTCGCTGCACTTGCCTTGGGGTGGAGGATCGGCTACTACATTATCATCTTTCAATAATATGCACTCGAAACTGTACAATTTTGGTGGACATGTAAACAACAGATGGCCTGGTTTTCTTGGTCTCTCAATCGTCGGTCTCTTAATCTCCACTACATCATCATCATCATCATTCTCGGATGGACGTGATCTTTTCGACTTCTCCTCCATTCCAACAACTAACTCAACAAATACACAAACACACAGACACACACACACACACACACATTAGAACTTGATGATACAATAAAGATCCAGATCCAAACTAGAAGAAATAAACTTCGATTATCAGAAAACACATACAATCAATAAGAATCAAGTAAAAGGACCAACGTACAATTACAATACTTACCAATCCTGAAAAAGCCGCCGCCGCTTCCACGGGGAAAACAACCGGCCGGCCAGGAAGTGAACTGAGATATATTATTACGACGAGGACGGCGGATCCACAAACAAATCTCTAGTTTTTCAAAAGCTCTTGCTTGCAGGACAATTCTTTAAATAATTGGGTTGACCTATTCTATGGCCTGGCCCTAACAAAAAGAAGTCTATATAGGCCCATAAAGGGTAAGTTAATCAAGTCACAAAACCCAATCATTATAATATTGTGTATAAATTATTATATATATATACTTGTATATATAAAAATTCATAGTGAGAAGATTTCCCCCTCTTATCATTTCAAAAATATTTTGTATGTTACATTTTTTCTCATTTATATATAATTATTATTGGAGCGATTATTCGATAATCATATGCGTTATTTATATTTTCCAAAGCAAATAAAATTGTAGATTAGGTCGAACGGAATAATTAATTATAAACTTCTGAAAATTTTAATATCAAATTATTGATATCACATCATTAAAAACAAAAATGCGTAGTTATATTTTTCAAAGAGAATAAAATTCAAGATGAGGTAGCATGGAATAATTAATTATAATCTTTTGAAACTTATAATATCAAATTATAGATATCGCATCACTAAAAATAAAAATTCAAATCGATTAAGTAGAGATAAAATAATTGATTGTTATTTTCTGAAATGTTTAATCAATATATTTAAATCAAATTTTTGACATCGCATATGTAGTTCGTGCCTCGTTCGAACATTAAGAATCGTCGTATTTTATTTTATTTCTTGATTGTATTGCTTTTGCTTTTATTTTATTTGCTTGACAAATTTCTCTAATAAGCTTATTATGATTATTTATATGTCCTCGTCTATTTAATCTAATAAGTTAAATAATTTTTGCAGATGTCCTCGTCTACTTAAATTATTTCTAATTTTATTATATTATCGTCAATCGAAAATCGTCCGAAGCCGTGATCAATCGTATCATCTTGTGAGCTTTTATTTAGCCCAATTTTATCCCTTTTGGACTTGATTTGTTGGCCCAAGTCCAAGATGAAAATCGGCCTCTTTAATTAATTATTAGAATCGGCTCAATTGTCGAGTAATTACGGCCCCAAGTATTGATCATTCTCGGCCCGAAAATGCTACATTAGAAACTGGCCTTTGAACCCATGAGGGCCACCCGCCTTTGTATACATTTTGGCTCCATGTTGGAGCTTTGAAATTCAAACAATATATATATATATATATCTCTCTATCGTGCGAATTTGTTGTCCGATGACATCCGAAAGCCAAGTACTTAGCATCTTGAGGCGGAACCAGCGCTCGACACATCCGAAATTTGTCTGTTTGTAAGTTGTCCTAAATACACAAAGCTTATCTCTGTGGCTGCACTTAGCTTTTTGTTGCCTTGCCACAAGTAAAAATAGCACCTTCATCTTCATCATCCCTGTTATTTTGCTCTCTGTCGCCACAAGAAAAGAGAACTTACATACCCACTTCACTAAATTGCTAAATTGGTTGGTCCGTTGTTTGATGTCCCTACAGTTGTTCCTCCTCATGGGGTGGTGGGACTCCACAAGAACTGAATTTGTTTCCTTTGTGTTATGCTCATGTATTTATGACTTGGTTCTTTTCAGT